CGAGAAAAGTCCGTGAAATATTTATATCGAAACTGTATTGAAATATGTAAAATCATTTGACTGTTATATACAAAACGAAAACAGGTCGCCGAATTTGGATATACATATCGCAGTTTTGGACATATATATTGCACTTTGGATATATATAATGTAATTTGGACATAAATATGGCAACTCGGTACATAAATATCACTCTTCGACATTTTGATCCTGTTTGACAAGCATATCTGTTATAACTAGTAATTAGAGCTGCACTATATTCAATATATCACAGAAGCAACAACATAATAAAGGGGAAAATCTCTTTCAAGCAATTAAATAGATCACAGGAATATCTATCAGATGTATCATTCTTTGGATATTTTCCTTGATTCTTCAAAATTATTCAATAACAACCTTTGGGCAATACTTCTCTGTATAAAGGGTCTTAAAAAAATTCAAAAGTGACAAGAGATGTTTGAATGACCTTCCTTCAATTCTTAATATAACAAGAAATTTTTCAACATGATGGAAGAATTCTCAACATTTTTATTATTAGTGAACAGATCTCAGTGCACACTTACTTTATTTATCCAGACTTCACCGTTATTGTCCTCATTCGTAACATATAGATCTGAAACATGCCGAATCGATTTTAATTATTTTTTTTCTGTAGATCTATCTAATTAAATGTACACAGCAAATTGCATCATACTGGTNTTTTGATCCTGTTTGACGAGCATAAACAGAGGTACTAATTTGTTTGTAGGAGGGCATTCTTGTGCAGCCATCTGAATCAGAAATGATTAGGCCTCCAAAAATAACAAAGAAAATAAAACATGTTGGCCAGTCAACATTTGCTGACATTGGCAAGTATTATTGAGTGTATGCCTTATGGCCGATTTACACGGTACGACTTTGTCGCATGCGACAAGCTTACGGCAGGCGTACGACATTGTTTCGTGTAAATCAAACCTACAACTTGCTCACGACTGTTGTGTACGTCAAAGAAAATGTCATAGGATTTTACAACATGTTTTGAAACGCTGCGACAATCGTAGCCAATATCGATGGAAAATGACATATTTGTGACAAATTTCTACTGAGTAGGAGACGAGGTGAAGTTTTCTTGCGTCAAAATGGCAGACGAACTTGTTGACCGATTCACATGAAGACGTTTCTCGAAAAGTACTAAACGGATTAAAGCGAAAAACATCTCTTTAGAAAGTTGTTTTAAAGGGCAGGGCAGCTGAAACATTTCTCTTTTACTGTTTGTTAGAACTTTTGCTCCGAAAATCCAGGTGCAAACTTTTGCCTATTTAATTTTGTAAGTGAAAATGTTGTGCACGTGTAAATGACCCTAAGTCATGTCATAGGCCTGTCGTAAGGTTGTCGCATGCGACTAAGTCGTACCATGTAAATCGGCCCTTATTAGTAGTATCTCCTGAAAGACAGCTGAATTTTAACGTTTAAACTCCGAAAAACTTGTAAAGGTGTTTGCAAAATATCAAATGTTTTTAATGATGTATAATTTTTCAGGTTAAATCAGACTGTCAGTGAAAAATCATAGATGTAAATGTATTTGATGTTTTGTCCTAAATATTTATTAAATTGCTTTTAGGCCTTTATTTTGAGCCTACATGTAAAGACAATTTAATAAATAATTATTTAGTATAAAACATTTGTATTTGTTGTGGTGTAAACTTATCTTTGGTTTGACATTTTTATATTCTTTTGATTCCAATTAAGATGATGCATATGAAGCACTGAAAAAAGTTAAACTGGTTTGGAAATTTATAAACCAAATAAGACAAATCTAAACCAAAGGATACGCTTGTTATTTTTTAGGTTTAGAGGCTAGGTTTTTTAAGTTTTTGTGAACAGGACGTCCAGGGATGGAGACTTCCCATTGGTGGTAATTTTTCTTAAACAATATTTAAGTTGTATTCCTATCCAGTTACAATACAACTTTGATCTCCATATTCTTTCATCAATTGTTACTGAGTTTGGTCTAGCAAAGAGACGTTCTACATGTCAATTAAAATGGGTGTCACGAAGACCTTGAAAATTTCTCAGCAAAAACGCTTTGCCGATTGTTTCACTCAAGCATTATTTGAAGCAGCTGGAAAACATTAATTCAAGATTTGCAAAGATATCCTTAGTATTTTGTTTTGTCAAGCAGCTGTTAGTCCCCACATGAGCAAACCTTGACATGGTATTAAAATGTCACATAGCCCATAATTTGACGGTTTTCATCGGTTTACGTTGGGGATCTTAGTTTTCATAGCGTGAAAACTGAGATGAGGTCTTGGGTCTTAGGTCATAGTTTTAGAGGGTCTTAGCTTTCATGACACCCCAGTGAAAGCCACCTAATTGTAACGTATGTTTTTCAGATGGAGATGGAAATATTGACCTCCTGTTACCAGTATGTACCACTGACTACTGTGAAGAAAGTCACATTTATGTGTACTCTAGTGGTCAGGTACATGTTCATTTAATTAATATATACTACATAGCCTGTGTAGCTTGGCAGTTTAAGCAATTTTTTAAGCAATTTAAGTGCGAGCGCACAAAGCTTTTTAACAGTTCTACTCAGTGTACATATACTGTTGCAAAATTCTAATACCCAAAAATGTAAGAACCAGGGAACCTGCTTAGCCAAGCAAGGTCAAGCAGGTTCTTATATCTGGATAAATAGTTGAATTATGAACTCTTGTTATAGAGACAACACTACATATACATTCTGAAACCGGTTGTGTTAGGCTTATCATAATAGTAATATAATACAGTTGTGAATATATACTGTATATTAAGGCACCAAACCCATGTTTATTTATATTTCTGGTAATCAACAACTAGTATACATACATCTCTTTCACCCTAACCCTAACCCTAAGAACGTACCTAACCTAAATTGCCAATACCTACCCCAAAATAC